TTACAGGACAGTATCTGAGTATCTGACCCAGCCATTCTGGCAATATCAATGAAGATGTCTCCCCCACCTGATTAACACCTTTAATATCAGGGCTAACAACTTGTGGGGGCTTAGGACTGCTAAAAGCTTGGAGCAGGACAAACACTGCAGTGCCCATGTGCAGGCTGTGCAAACACAAGCTGCGCTGGGTGAGCAGGGGGCAGCAGGGGAGGGCCTGGCTGCACCCCTGGCTGCTGCCAGGATCTGGCTCCATGGCTGCAGACCAGCACGTTGGAGACTTCAGCCCACTGGCTCCAGCAACACTTTCTCGTGGAACAAAGCTCATCTCCTCTAACACAGCTTTATCCCAGGAACTGGCCCATATGGAATAAAACAAATAAATCACAAGTGTTTTGCGAAAGGGAAAAAAAAGTTCCTGCTGTACATAACTCGGGGGAGCAGATGTTTTTCCATTAGCTCACTGTTCTCTGCTGCACTGGCTCCCTTTGCATTTCTTGTTTGTAGCATGTTCAGTATAAACTATTTTTCCTAGGTTAAACTTCAGCACGTTACTGAGACGGCAGGTAGCCCACTCCAGCCCCACTGTGAGTACATGGAATAGTATCCTTGTCATTTTTCTCTAAATCCTCCTTTAAATTAGCCTTAGGGTCTACCTGGTGAGGTTCACAGGCTGAGCTTAGCAGGCATTTAGCCAAACTTAGATCAAATTACCAGACCTACTTTGCTGTGAGTGGCCATATTTGGTAAAGTATTGGGTTAGTCAAGAAGCTAAATTGTCAGATATAAACTACTAGTAAAGACAAACAAAGTGGACCTTGTAGTTAAAAGTAAAGCTTAAAATAATACAGTAACAGGAGCTAGAATATTAGAACTCTTATTAAAACTGGCTTGTAGCATTCTAAAATGCTCTGTATAAATACAGCATATGGTTATTACTGCCTGGAAGTATAATCACACATACTTCAGATAAAAAATCATTCCAGTTACCCTGAGAGCCTAGAACTATTAACACTATTTCTTTCCAATACTGACATGCTTTGCTCTTTGGGTCAAAAGTGATCTTATAAAAATGCTGAATGGAGGTAAATTTTGGTCATAAATTTGAACAATTTCAAGTATATTTTCTTTAGCCAAACAGCATGACTATTTTCTAAACAAAAAGGAGGAGTACTGGCATGACTGTTAGAAGTACTAGCTCTAGTAATCTCTAGGATTCCCCTTGCAGCTCTTCCTGAAGGAAGAGGGAGGAGTTAACAAGCTTTACCAGGGCCACCAAAGTTCCTTGCCTCTTCTCAAACTTGAATTCATGCTCTCAGCCATGAAAAGCAGAACAAAGAGGAGCAATGAGCAGAAGGATTGCATAATGAACACCTCTCCTGGAGCTGCACCACCACAGCATGTGCACTGTAGCACTGTTCCTAAGTACTCCCTGAAATGAGCTGTTTCTCAGACATGGGGCCAAGAATAATGTTTAGGCTCATAAATGTTAAAGTGTTCCGAGATGACTCTCTTTAAGCAGCCATTATATTCAAGAGGACTAGGGGGGTTATTGTTAAAAGGGACCAGACAAGCTGTGCTAACAATCTCTGCTGCAGAACACTTGGAAATAGAATATGCCTGTTAGTATTCCAAGCATGCCTGCTGCAGGGGACGTCTCTAGTCTTTGAGAACAGCACACTGCTCTTCCAAAGCTGTGACTACCTGTGCAGAAAACAGGAAGATGTGGAAGCCCACTAAGGCAATGTGCCAAGCTCTGTGCTGCAGATGACTGTACTCCCAGGTGGTCCTGTAAGAGATGGCTGGATGTAAGATTAACAGTGAGAATTCACAGTTTTATTTTGATGCTTGAAAGAGAGAGGACTCTTTCTAGAGACCACAGATCCATCAAGCAGCTCTTTGTTTACAGGAGGCTACAAAAAATTACCTTGCCAAAGATCACTAGGCATTGCTGCAGGGAAAGACAAGGTACAGCCTCTGTTATAGTGCAATGCATTTTGATTTGGCAGCTGCACATCCAAAGATGGTGCTTTATTGTCTTCCCTACAAAACTATGCTGGTCACAAACCCAGAAAAATGACAGATAAAACCACTAAGTGTATGCTCTCTTGTGGGGAGATGTGATCTTTATCACAGCATAAAAGGGATTAACTATTTGCACAGGGTTCACAGCCTTCCCTTCAGCCACTCTTAAGGGAACACACATATTCTCATAAAGCTAATTGTGAAACCTGTTAAGAGAACAAGGGGTCTCCAGCTTGGAGGGACTGGGGACACTTCTGCACAAGGCAGGAACTCCTACTGCAGCTGCAGCTGGAGGATGATACACACTAAGGATTCCCCTATGCAAGCGTCACTGGATAGGTACCACCCCCTAAGAGTCCCTTTTGCAAGTATATGTGCTGGTGCTGTGGCCTGGCCTGGCTGCTGGAGGGCTGTAAGAGCAGCCCCCTATAGCTGTGGGATGGCTGGGTTTGTGTGCCTCTTCCCAACCTCACTGCACAAAGCTCTAACTGGACCAGCTGGCTGGTACCATTACTTTTCATGCCCTGGGATATGAGAAGGCATGGCAGCTGCAATGGCTCTGATGGCACCCAGACACCACTGCAAGCTGGCACTCTCAATCCCTGCCCATGCACAGAGGCACGGCCAGTGTGTCCTGTGAGTGTCTGGGAAGGACGGATGCTACATTATAAATTCACTGTAGTATGAGGTTAGGAAATTGTAATCACTTTATCTAAGGATTTATGAGTCACACTAAAAAGGTCCAAGTGTTAATGACAACAAAAACAACAACACACGAGTCATTTCCCAAAGGCACATTAATGTTTTTTCCCTGTGGAGATAGGACACTGAGGTATGAAAAAGTTAGGCAACTTGCCTGGAGTCACAAGATGAGTCACTGATTGAAAAAGGACAAGTCCAAGCGAAACCTGATGAAAATCTACAGCATACTGATGCAGACCTTCCATGAATATCAACTGGCTCCATAGGCAGGCATCAGAATGTTACACTTTGCCTGCTGCTTTCCACAGCCATTCATTTTGGGGTGAGCTGGAATGTAAAACCACCTGACTATCTCAACTTCCTCTAACCATTCATATCTTTTCAATTAGTCATCTATGAATTATCTGTTTTGGAAGGCACTTCTTACAAGTACACTTGTTCCACCTTTCAGACAGGAAAGATCCTAGTAGTGAAGGTCAGTGACACCCTTTGGATTATTCCAGTCATTAATCCCAGCACAAAACCAACCCATTTACAAGAAGTCCTCTAATTATTCAGGCACTGTGCCCTTCTCCACAGAGAGTAAAGACTACCCCAAATATCTGCACCTCTCTTCATCCCTCAGGATACCAGAATCCAGCAGCTTCCACACTACCATGAGAAGAGAATGGCCAGTACCTCAGCAGGAGCTCATTAAGCTGCATCCATAACAATAACTGACTTCAGTAATGAAATTACAAAGCAGTCACAGTACATGTTTTCAAAATATCAATCCTGAATCGAGTCCAGCTAAAACTAAGCATGAAGCAAAACAAAGGCTTACAAAGTGATAAGAGGGAAAAGTTACAGCATATAAAAATAAATTCTATCTAAAAGAATAATTAACACCTTTCAGAAAGGTACTCTATTCACACTGAAAAGCAATCACAGCAATTCACAGCAAGCACTAGGTCTTTATTGCTTTTGTCTTTTCAGACAGTAGCAAGAATGTAAACTGCCTAGAGCTAGCTGTAGGATGATGGACAACAGACACCTGACTTCTCATCATAATAAACTCCATTTATTTTGCTCCCCACCAGCCCTCTCTGCAGCCTTAAATCAGGAATATAAACTGAATAAAGCACGATCTTGCTGGTGATTTTGAAGCCCACAGCACATCACTGAAATTTACATCCACACAAGTCATTAATGTGATTAACTTAAAGGATGATGCATTCTATAAGGTGACTTCTTTGTTAATATTAATCAAAGCGTAGCAAAACCAATGTCATATATTTTGTTCTAGAACTAAAGGCTAATTGGAAGGAAATTACCCACAAAAGCTGTGAAAATCTTTGCTGTAAAGTAGGGTGAGATTGCCAGGTCTTATGTGAGAGCTGTCAATTGCATAGATTAGTGAAATGAGAATTTGAAAGGTTCCCCTGCACGAAGAATAGAAATCTATCAGCAGCTTTCCAGGGGGTTCTGCTTTTCTTTCTGCATTGCAAATGGTGAGACATCTAATAAGCAATCACAGCACTCAAAGGTAATTTCAAGTGCGCAACTGTGGGCCCAGTTATGGAAGAAAAACTGTCTCCTAAAAACAAAATTACAGGCTTGGAACTCTATCAGTTCTGAAATGTTGGAATGCAAGCAGCAGAATGTGCTGGGCAACTCTGTTCCTCAACAAATGTCCTACATAAAACCCCTCCATGGGTTTGGAGATTGCTTGTGGGTAGAGCCTCCCGTCACTGTTTTCCCTTTATGTGCTCTGTTGCAGCATCTTTGCATTAGTGTCTCAAACTGCTACTCAACCTACAAGACCCTGGGAGGTTCAAACAGTCAAGGACAGTGGAGAACATCCTATTTCTAATAGTTTTCACTTTCATTCCTCAGCAAAGATTGGAATGCTGAAATCACATTTAAGACATGGTTTGCCCAGTCTTATCACAGGGAGGTATTTAGTAAAAGGAGAATGAAAATAATTGTCCTTATGAACTACCATTTGTTAGTGAAGAACTACGTGTCCTCTTTTTCAAAAAGCATATTATAGGGATGACTAAACTTTTCTGTGTGTTTTGGAAAAACAAAAGTAAGCTGAGAAATCACACTACTACAGTATTTTTTTGGGTCATAATTAAATAAGTGGTTTTTCAAAAATCATCTGGGATAGAATAGCAGATTTTCTGCTGGAATGGAGTCATTTTCAGCTCATGACTTCAACTACTCTGTTAATACTTATGTCATTTGATTCATCACTGGGGGGAAAGAGGAACTCCAGGTAGCTCAGGACTTACCAGCTTGTAGCCAAATTTGTTCAAGAGTTGTCCAGAGCTTCACAGGTCCCTGCTTCATTGTGCTGCTCTGCATAGTTATTTCAGACATGGCCTGTTCCAGTCTTGATGCAGCAAGGGAAGAGGCTCGTTGTGAACCTACAAACCAAACAAACTATTATGTATTTTATACTTATTTATGATATTTCCTTGACTTGTTAAGGCAGCAGGTCCGATCCTCCACTCACTACATTGGTTTTATGTAATAAGAACACTGCTGAATTTTGGCATGACAAACTGAAGAAGTATGTTTTATAAAAGGTTAATTTACTGAAAAAAACCCCACTAAATTATCCAAGAGCTGCAGCTCAAACAAGAAAATTAAGAGACAGTAATTTTATAAAGGTCTGCTTAGCATTCATCAAGGAAGCAACCATATTTTGCTCGTTTGGGAAGCAGAAGTCTAGCATCAAATATTTTCCACAAATACCCATTTTATAAGCACAGTCACCATACAATTACAAAATGTGCCCCACTAAGGTAAAAAATTCATACAGCATGACAAGGTAGCTTAGCCCCATTCACACAGCACACACATTTCAAGTGACATCAACATTGTTCTACTGATTTAGAGGCAGGGTGGTTTTTCATTTAACCTTGGGGAGCACAGAGTTCAGAGCTTTGACTGTATTAACCTTTAGTATGCACTGTAACATTTACGCAAGAATAAAGTATTTGGCTCCCCCACCTCTGGGACAAAACATCACATCAAAAGCTTATCCCAGGAGGGCTGCATGGGCAGAAACCACATTCTCCAGTACAGCAAGTGGGATTATACTGGTGAGCCAACCTCTCAGAGGGGTATCAACACGGTAGTAACAAAATAAGAAGCTACAAATTGAGATTTCAGAGTTGGCTGTGAGAAATAAATATTTTAGTACACATAGGTTTTAATGTGATTTCACGGTTGATAAGCTCTTTCTCTGGAGAGCTGCTGTGACTGAAGCACTTGTGTTGATTAGCATTCCTCTTGAATCTACCCTTACAGGCTGACCTCATAAACCACAAGATCCTAGAGTTAAAATCCCGCTTTTTCTCTCCCGCAGCCACGGGGCACATGCACTTAATGGTCTCTCTGAGAGGGACAGCATCCTTTTCCAGCTGGAGTGTGCTCAAGAGAGAGAGGGCTGCCAAACCACACCTCCTCACCAGCACACCAACACATCACCCTGTGGTCCCCAGCCAAGGTCTCCTGGCCATCTCTGGATGTGAGCAGGGACCCAGCCTCAGGCAGGCACAGGGGAGGCTTTGCTCTCCTGGCAGGACACGGCTGCAGCTTCTACTTAACCCGAGGTGAGCGTGTCAGGGCTTGGGAGAGACCACAAGTGCAACCCCAGGCTCGGAACTGCAATGGGAAATATTTGTCCTATTATCTCATCGCTAACTAATGTCATTCATTTCAAGCAGGAGGACTTAAAAACAGCCCTGCAGCAGGCGCCTCCCACAGCTCCCTTGGAAAATGCAAATGTGTTCTTCTCAGATGCATTTCTTAAATTCCTACATATTTGCAAAGACATTCCTGATCTAATGTTCCAAGAGATGACAGTGCAGTAATGTAGCAATTGCAGCTTTAAGGGTATGGGCAAAAGCCATTCAGCTTTGCAGGAAGAATTTATTGTATTTACCAGTTTATTTAACTGATCCACCTTCAACCTGTTTCACTGCACGAGATTCCTCCCCTGCCTTGCCCACTCACACTCCTCTCCCCCATCCCTATCTCCACTAGTGAGAATTTCACTGAAACTCTCAGAAATTTAAGTCAGACTAGAGCTGTTTGACACAGGCAAAAACTATCAAGCGTTTATGCCCAGCCATCTAAAACACAGACAGCTTCTCTGCACTGCAGAGACAAGAAAATGGACACATGAACAGCTAGTGATGTTATCAGCAGAGCTCTGAAGCTAGGGCAGACCTCTTGCCTTCTAGATTGGCAAATCTGGAAAAAATTACATGCATTTTGTGGATTGTGCAGTCAGGCTAACGAGATTCTTATATTAGCATGTTTGAATGCAACTTTCAGTACCACATTTTCCTGCCAAGGCTGCCCTCTCCCAGAGAAGCTTTGTGGAGCTGTGTTTCTTGCAAGCATCCAAATGTAATGCTGAGCTGTTTGCACTGGGTGGGCAGATAGGCTGGTACTTATTCACATCCTCACAGGGCTCAGGGAAATCCTCTTTTCCTTGCAAATCAATCCAAGAAAACTAAATCACCTTTGTGCATTTTGGAGAGGTTCACATGCTGCCTAAGCAGACCCACTTAGAATCTACTAAAGCATCCTTCCCTCACAAAGCAGACTTCACAGGAATATAACAGCACAGTTGCTCTCAAAGAAACCCAAGTTAGCTGCTCCTCATCTTATCTTCATTAGCCCAGTAGTTCCCTGCCAAGAGGGGAATTTGAGACTGATCCTGCTCAGTAAAGTGGGCATCTGCACAGCTGGACAAATGAGACCCAAGTTATTTAGCAATTTACATGGAGGCTCTTTTCTTTTATCCCTTGGCAATCCAATCCTTTGATGTTTACTTTCTTTTCCTTCTTTTCCAGCCTACAAGAGGAAGCAGAATATTTTAGGCAGAGAACATGCCATCCCTGCTTGGCTTCAGACACAGATACACTCCTTGCTCTGGACATGCCAGATGAACAGGCTCTCTCAAACCAGCCCATCCTCCACTTTTGCCACCACTGTTCTTGTCCATCTCTGCTGGGATGCTCACAGCAGTTCTCCTTAAAGCTTGCCTGACCAAATAAACTCTGTAAGAGAAGGATTTTGCCAGCCTGGCCCTTTTGGACTGAAAGGGGCTCAGCCACATCTCTGAATCACAGGCAAGCAGTACAGTGCCCCTGGGGGTGGGCTGATGGCTACTGCAGCCACAAAAGAGTTTAACACACTCTGTCCTGAGAGGGGAGATCAGCATGTGTCACACCGGCAGGACTCTGGCCTTGGGGAGGGGGGGAGATGGAAAAACTTCAAGCAACATTAAAAGAATTATCTGAATGTCTCATTATAAGCTATCTCCTCTGAAAGAAACGTGCTAAAAAACCTCCCCACAAAACCTGTCTCGCAGAACTTTAATGTCATGCCTCAAAATACATGCAAATGTTGGCATACGAAGATATCATATCAATTTGTTATTTTAGTGCAGCCTCTTTCTCTATTTAACTGCTCTACCAGACAGAATATAAACTTCACATTTTACAATAAAACCCTCCAAACATTTTGGAAGTAACTCATGAAATAACAAACTAATTCTGTTGTGATGAGCTCTGCACATAAGCCCTACAAAATCTATCCAAATAATTTTAAAGCACTGTTCTAGGATGTTTTAAGACCAAAAAGACCAAGTTTAATATTTTGCATTTACGTGAAAATTGCTACCAAAATAGAAATGTAGCTCATTAGATTTACTAGGCTTATAAGAAACACAGAACTCCCAAGCCTAAATCACTTCAGGCAAAAGCATTATAAGATAAGACTAAATCAGAGAAAGAATGAAACGGCAAGGCAGCTGACTGATATCAGTGAATTTAGTTAGGAACACTGCTTCAGTTAGGAGAAGATGAAGAAAATAAAGAGGAATTAATCTTTCTGGCAGCAAACCTAAATTCTGGCACAGCAAATAATCTTACTGTGGTCTAGCTGAGGGAGAGGCCAGTGTCAAAGCCGGCCCCAGTGATGAGCCCAGAGATGGCAGAGCGCCTGCGCAGCGCAGCAATGCTGCTGCACGCTCCCGGGGGATTGCACAGCAGACAGCACTGCCGGCTCCACAGCCATGCAGAAACATCAGACTGCTCCCTCCTTCCAAGCAGGCAGCCCCAGCCCCAGCTCTGGGGAAGCACAAGGGCAAGAGGGAGTAGAGCTGTACCCTCCAGTCTCACCCACTACTCTTCAAAGAGGATCCCAACAGGAGAGCAGACCCAGGTGCTTCCCTCCTGCAGATGGAGAACAGCAGCACCCAGAGCCTGCAGAGAAACGAGCACAGAGCCCTGCTGAAACCAGCCAGTGCCAGCCCCACACTTATGTGGGTGGTGTAATTTCAGTTCCAGCTCCTTTCTTGCATTCATTGTGGGGGCAACCATGTTAGCATGGAAACCTGGATTCTCAGAGTGGAGGAGGAATATATTTCTTGGCTAAAACCAAATTGCATTCAGTGCAAATCACTTTAGGTGCATGAAAAGCTGATTCAAAGCTTGTACTTTACATTAATTTGCCCTTTCTGGCAGGCAGCACCATGGCATACAGCACAATTAAGACTCAGACAAACCCTAATTCCCTACAGATCCATGAGATTTATGTGTCAGGTTTTTTTTCTTGTCCATTTTCTGAGTTTGAGGTTCACTTTCTTTGCAAGTGTTTCACCTACATCCACAAGCATAGGCATTTGATTCCCTAAAAAACCCTCCAAATTAAAAGGCAAGTTTCTCACATTATCATCTGATTTTGAGCTAGGGTTTTAGAGTAGTACCAAGTATCACAAGACTTACAACAAAAATCACAAGTCAGCAGCACTCTCTGAAAGCTTCCTTTCCCCTTTACTGCCAAGATCAGCTTTGATGTCTCAGTTACTTCCATCTGAGTCTATCTGGTACTGTGAATATGTATTTACAATACAATAAAGCATCACAAGGTTTATGCACAAATCCCAAAGCAAATCACCATCTAATAGGAACTGACACTCTCACTCTGCTTTCCAAAACCAACGATAGCAGCTGGTTTGATTAGGACATCTACAAAAAATTAAATGAGGAGGCAGGCTGAGGAAGGGAAGGAATAAAAAATAAAAAGAAGGACAGAATTATACATCTCAGAGAGCTTAGTGAAAGAAAGCAGGAACCCCTCTCTGTGTTATGCGTGGGGAAGCCAAGGTACAGGCAAACCACAGGGACACATTCTGCAGCAGAGCTGGCCATGGAGGCAGACCTGGACCTCCTGACCAGCAACACAGATGTGCACAGGCCCATCACCCTCTCCAAAGAAAATGAAACATTCGTTTCTCACAAAAGCATGTGTTTAGAACAGGAAAGCACAAACCTTGTTTCCTTACCAGAGTCAGTGTCATGAGCATCTGGCAGAGTGAGATGCAGTCCATTATGCTTTTTGATTACTGGTGTTTCAGTCACACTACTTCCTTTCTCAGAGCCACTGTAAAGAAACAAAACTGTAACCTGGACATCTCTCAGTGGAGAAACGTTTCCCTCAAAGCAGGCAATAGTTTAGCTGCCACGGGAAGTGAAAAATCAAGGTTTTCAGTTGTGAGAAATCATCTTATTGGATGTATTAACATCTGCCCCACTGCCACTGGACAGGAAGCTCAGAGACTGCCCAGCAGGGGCGCAGGGCACACACTGGTATTTACTTTATTTGGCTATAGGGAGTCTTTACAAACCACTGGACAAGAAACATGTTGGCAGCTAGAAGTCAGACCAGAGGAGGCCCACTAGCAGACCCAGACCCAGCAAAAACCATTTCTTGGGCTTTTCTGCAGAATAATTTGTTCACAGGTCTACTGTGCTGATCCTTTTGAAAAAGACCAATTACCACCTTCCACCTGGGTGCTAATTTGTTCATATTTTCATTTCAAAGGGCTTATTTTCTCCCCTTCCTCCTTTGTTCTGTTCAAAAAGAGGAAGAAGATAAAAACTACCAGATAGCACTGCTTTGTGAAACAGGTCTGCTTATGAAACTCTGGTCTGTTCTTCTACTGGACTTCTGTCCTCACAGGAGAGGCCTTACAAAGAGAAATACACAAAAAAAAAAAAATCATGTAATCATGTGGCTAACAAAAAGTCACTTAACACAGATCTCTTGAGCCTTCCTGTCACCACATAGTCTGCCACCCCCCAAGGATCAGTGGTGATGATATCTCCTCTCATCATCCATTAAGGGATGAAATACCAAAAGGAAAAGTGACTGCCCTGGCTACTTTTTCTGGCACACTTCCAAGCCTGCAGCTCAGCCTTTGGACAATATTCTTTCCAGGAAGCAAGCTGTCAGAGAGACATGATTGGTGTGGATGCCCCCATCTTTCAGTCTGAGGAGTCTTTGGTAAGGATAGCACAGAATTCCCTTGAATCTGCATTGATCTAGTAGAAGAATTAGCTTGGGACTGCTGTTTGGTTTTAAACACAATTATTCTGTTATCACAGAAAACAACAGCAAAAGACAAACCAAGGCTTGCCCTTCCCAGCTAACAATCTAAGACTGAAAGCCACTTACTGTCATTCATCATAATAGCAATCATATTTACAGTAGCTAAATAACCTTTTACTTGGGCTTTGGGATCAAGCATAATGGTTTCTGTTAATGCACTCTGAATTCTTGGGCACTGGACTGCACCAATCTCTGTCCTTGAATGGGCCTCCCTTGTCTTCCATACTGGTTTCCACACTGATAATTCATTTGAGCCTATCACATAGTGACAGAGAGAAGGGAAAATTAAATTGTCTGTCCTATGCCTCAGCCTTACCTAGACAGGACTGACCCAAATGAAAGTGCCCTGGCCAGAAGCTGCTGGAACTGGATGGACAGCTCAGTCTTACTGCTGTGGATGGAGGAATAAGGCAGCTGCACTTCCATATATTACTGCCATGAGCTTAATGCAGCAGCACTACCATGGAATCACTGCTCAGGCACATGCTGAAACACTGAAACTCTGGCTAATACACCGTACTCCTCCTCTAGGGACAGGTGAAGAGATTGGAAAATCCCAGGGTGAAAACCCAGTGTAATACATTGTGCAAAACAGCCACTCCCAAAACTCTGTTATCCCAGAGAAGGGCTGAAATAGAACTACCCTTTAAAAGCTGCAGTACAAAACCTTCAGCCAGGAAAGCTTTTTGATGCACCATGGAAGGGACAGGAGCCAGATGATTTGCTTTCTACATACAGCACTGGAAAGGCTGACAGTAGGACAGCAGGACATCTACTGCCCATGTTTTTGAAAAGTAGTTGAGACAGTGGACAAATTGGTGACAAAAATGCTGAGCAGGACACTTGGTTGTGAGACTGCAGAGGCACCAGTTTGTCAGAGAGAAGACAGGGGACTTGAACAGGCCATATGAATAGCTGCTGGGGATAAAATACTGGGCCTTGAGAGACTTTTTGGTCTGTCAGTCACAGTAAGATTGTAAAGCCAGCAAACAGGCCAGACAAATGCAACTGAAGTGCCATTTAATTGTGTAGGCAATTATCTACTGATTGAACCAGTAAGGAGTACTGGGTGCAACAGCTCTCAACTTTGTGTAAATGTAACCTTCTCTTTTGCAAGAGGTCCTAAAAATGCCTTTGTCCAAGTCTCACTGATAAGAATTCCCCTTAAGTTCCTCTGCCAGCCCTACCCAGAATACTTTACATATTTGTTAGCGGATACTGCTGCAATTTGCTAAATACAAGGGGCTTCCTGGGTCACTGAATCCAGTCTAAAACTGCAGGTGCCAAGTTGATTCTTGTTACCTTTCCAGCAGCATTCCATAATAAAAAATATCTTATTATGTGTTTTTTGAAAAAAGAAAAAAAAAAAAAAAAGCCCTGCTGGGAATAGCAGTGAAATGTATACTAGAGTTTTTAAAAGCAAAAGCAGAGCAATTCGTTTTGTTTAAGATTCTATGGCTAAAGCTTATCAAAAGCCTCTAAAGCTATCACATCTTGGGTTTTTAAGTATAAGAGCCAAAGCACAGCTTGGGATCCAAATGCAGTCCAAATGGCTGAACTAGTTATTTGTCTGTTTTCCAATGTACTCTCTACAGTCTCAGGCTTGCAGCCCCCCCTTACAAGAGTAAATCTTCCTCAGTCATAATTGTTCAGCGTGGATTTGATCAGCTTCATGAGGACTACTCATGGGTATAAAGATTATTCATGTGAGAGGTACAGGATTGAATCCTTAGCTAAAGATACTAAGGCCTAAGGAAATCAATGACTTAAATCTGTAAAAGACCACTGCTGCTATGTAAATACCTTGATGCTTTGTCTTTGGTTTGCTGCTCATTAGCTAAACCAACAAGAATTACTAAGAACCCCTCAAGGACAACTTGTACACAGACATGCACCATTCTGTACATATACTTCTGGTATTTATAACACTTATGCAAATGCATACAGAAATTGGGGAACAACTCAAGCTACATCACCCTGCTGTCTTGGTTGCTGCCATCAAGCATGCTGTCATTCCCATCAAACACAATCCCTGTGGACATTATGGGCAAGGAATCTTGGTATAATATTCCCAAGACACTCTACACTGATACCTTGACTAGGGCAATATCCTAAGGGTGTGGGAAGGAAGAAAACCCAACTCAGTATCTTCCACATTTTCTCAACTTTACCTTTCAGTGGGGCAGCAGATGAAAGGAAGGAAACAGGGAAGGCAGCATTGTGTGAATGCAGATTTAGTAGGACAAGGGAAGGGTGAAAGATGCTACATCCTTCCTTTCTTTCCTTGCCCAGTTAGCACCAGGCTGTGCAACCAGCGTGCAACTACAGCATATGAGTTTGGCACTGTGCCTTTCCTTGGCTTACTCACTTCAGGACTGTGTCACCCCCACACATTCCTGGGTGGTGCCAGCTACTGCAGACTGTGAACAATAGCTGATGAAAGCTCAGCACTATTGGGGAGAAAGAAAATCTGTCCTCCATTCTGGACATCCAAGTATGGATAGAGATGTTTAGACATTTGGTTCAGAAACCTGTGGTTCAAACTGCTTCTTCAATATTAAAACATTGAGGTTTTGTTGTTTTTTATTTTTTTTAAATAATGGCCATTAAAATCTTCCCTTTTTTTTTTAATCACTGATAGAAATATTACTTATCTTTCAAACAGTACTGTTTATCACCCTTCTTGCAAAATAACTCAAGTATCTAGAAAATTGAAAAAGATAACCATGTTACTAATTACAAATCTGAACTTGCTACAGTGGAGAAAGCCTACCTGTGCTGTAAAACACTGTATACCATCTGCCACATCTGCAACATATGTCTGCATGTCACCAGAGCCTCTTCAGGTCCTTTATGTATCCATTCCAGTTTTACTTTGGTGAAGAGTAAGCTGCAAGATGAAAAAGAATAACTCCTATTTTATTGGAATCTCATAAATGTAGAGAATCAGTATCACTCCGGCAAGATCCTGGCAGGCAGCATTTTCACTTGCTTTGTACGTGCAGTAATAAAAGAAAACACCACAGCACAAAACATTTCATTTGGCTCAAGTTTGATTCCCCACAAGGAGATGAGAGGATTAACAATATTTCTCAGCTGCAGTCAAATCTGCGTCACAAAGCTGGCAGGACAGTGTTAAAAGCAAAGCATTGCAAAGCTAACAAGGTGAAACATAAACTGAATCTCATTTTATTTTGGACAATGTTAAAACCAGGAGAAAACAGAATTGCTGTAATACATATGCCCAGGCTGTTTTCTTAGTCTGGCGTCTCCTTATAGCATTGGCTTATATAATGAATTTCAGACAAAAACCCCAGCACACTTAACATACACAGATAATTATGTAATGCCTCACAGGAAGGAAACACTTTTTCTTAACCCCAGCTGGCAATCATCTCATGCCCCCAGGCAAGACAGCTGATAGCCTTGTACATTCTTGTTCTAGGTAGTGGAACTGCTGCTACTATTCTTATACCTAGAGAAGACGTACTTGCACAGACCGCTGGAATTCAGCAGAATTGGGTCACACAGAGGTTACAAGACAGATTTGGCAATGACACAAGCTACCACTTGCTGCCAGCATGGCTTTTAATATCATCCTTCACTACACCCATTTTATCTAAATTGTGAAGATGATATAATTTATTTCTTTTATATTAATGAAAAACTTTAAATGTTTTCATTAAGTCCAATATCAACACAATTTTAATTCACTTGATGTGGTAGCAATTAATCCACTGGAAGCACATATGTGAACATACATGCATACAACAGTTGAACGGTAAAAATCCTAAAAACAGGTTTGTGAATGTGACCTGCAGGCTCCTGAGGAATCCAAACTACTTCAGAAAGAGACAAGAGCAACTGCATATACCGTGTTAGAGAAGAATTCACAGCTGAGTAAGAGATCCTTCACTTGGAATAATTAGAACTCTATTGCCAAGACTGTGTAGTGCATATCTACAGGAGTGTGCTAAAATGGGAGTTTCATTTGGTACTAACAAACATCAGGGCGGGTATTTTTGGTTTGGGTTTCTTGTTTGATTGGTTGGTTTTTCCTTGGGGGGCGGGGATGGTAGTTACCAAAATGTAGCCCAACTGTATCAACTGCTATAGTGAAGTCTGCTCATGGCAGCTACAATTTGACCTGGTAGAACAAGCATTCCACGAAATTCCTCAGGTACAAACTTTGACTAGCAAAGGCAGATCAAGACTCATAATCAAGGGAATTTGTCTTCACCCTTTACAATTTAACATCCCTACTCTGTATCTTTGATGCTCTTGTTACTGGTGTGAGCAAAACAAATATTGGTAAGAACATAATCTGCTCTTAGGCATGCTGACGCCCTAACTGGGAGGAAATGCCTTTATGATTCAGGTATTTGAGGCTAAAACAGACTGATCAAAATTTTGCTGGGACAAAGATGTAACAGTGGATGGAAGCACTGTTAAAAAATAAGTCTGAATTCAAAGGAGTGGTTAGCAATGGAACTGGTCAGTGATGCCTGCTGCTCTGTACTCCCTGTGAACAGGGCTCATAAGAACAAAGCCTGTATCAACACAACAGGATATAGAATCAATCACTTGGGTATAAGGAATACATATCACACTAGAAAGGTGGGAAGTTACATCATGGAGTGCAATGGTATTAAAAAAGGCATCAAGTTCCTGAGCAACAATGCAGTTGAAAGGTCAAACAACCCTTAGCATCCATATATAGAAATATAATCAGGTAGGAGCTGGAAGACATGGCTATTCTTGATCAGAGCATCAGCAAGACATTTATTACAATTCTGTTTCTAGTTCTTGCCCTTTGATTCCAGAAGATGACTAAAAATGGGATATGGTTCGGAAAATGGTTATGCACGATGAAGTGAGGGCTAGAAAAATGTATTTCATCAGAGGCTTGATAAGTTCAGTTTATTTGCTTTAACCAAGAAGCAGCAAAGAAATTGTTCTGCCCCAGCCTGCAAGCATCTACATGAAGTCTCTCATTGTGAGTCTTTGATGTAAAAGAAAAGACAGACAGAATCTAAGAATTTGTTAGAAGCTGAAATCAGTCAAATGGAAATTTCTAAGTAAATGCATTCACGTAACTATCAAGGAAAATAATCTTTGCAGCAACTACCTTGTGAGAACAGTAAATTCTGTAGTCATTAAAGCCTTTTCAGCAAGGCAGGATAACATCTGGAAAGCAATGGTAGTGTACAAACAGAAGCTGTGGGTTTGATGCATAGGCTCATGAGTGAGTTCTTTGGGCTGCAATGTGCAGAGGGGTGCACCCTACGTCACCCTCCTTCCAGAAGTTACTCTATTAAAATATTCTTCCAGTCCCAGAAGCAAGCACATTGAACAATCCATGCTATTTTAAACAAACAGAATAATTTTTTAAACCACTATAAACTTTCAAAATTAAAGACCTTCTAAAGCACTGTACAGCCCAGCCCTCCTTGCAGCAGAACAACAGTGGTCAAGAAGACCAAGGTTCAGAGACCAGCTGTACTTCATTCCAGAACAAAGCCACACTTCTCAACATGGTAAGATACCACTCAGTATTAATTAAACAAACAAACCTATTAACATCAAACTCCAGGACAAGATGGCTCTATTAAAGGCTCCTTCGTCTTCCATTAGCAGGGACATAGATGGCTTATCAGCAGGGAAATAAAATCACTACATAGTATCTTTACACATTGCAGTTAAACATTAAAAAGACAAAGGAATCATTTCATCACTCTGCTGTTTACTGCTTACAGTGAGTATATGTCATCTGCTCTGGATGAAGATGCAATGTTCTATCTCAGGAGAGAGAACAACTAATGAAACCAAGGAAAAAAACAAGTCTCTCACAAAAACATAATGAAGCCTCAGCACAATACTATCAGGAGTTGTAAGGCACAGGCAGACTACAGGATCTTGGAGATACCATGCCCTACTAGCTGTTGCAGCAGTTCACCTTGGGAATAGTGTTATCCATGTTATTGTGTAGTCTTATAATGAACCAAAAGATAAATGGGAGGAATGTAAGAAGCAAAAGGAATCAAACCATACCAGTGGCAGTAGCAAACAATGCAATTAAACATGCTAAGTAAAAGGTGGAAATACAAACAGGGTATCAGGCTGCATGTGCTATACACTTTTAGTATTTCTCAGCTTCTAATAAGTTTTGTAACAGTGAAACCAGATAAGTAAATACATAGAGAAAACAGTGAGGTAGTATCACTATCTCAAGCTTATAAATTTATTACTTAGCTAGCACTCTAACTACATATAAATCTAATGAGCATTGTGTCCTATCAGTGTCTGCACCCAATTTCAGGGGCATAAATAAAAATTACTTGCATACAGATTTCACCTTATTGTATTTCTTAATATTGTTGTGCATTTGTATGATGCTTGTAGTATTAAGCAATGTAGACTTTTAAAAGGATTCAACATACAAAAATAGCCCCAAGATTATCAATATAGTCATGGGTAATTCTATTAGCCTGTGAATATGAAAACAGATTTGGGCTAAAGCAAGTATATAAATTGCTACTACACAAGCATAGGAAAACAGAGCAAAAAAACCCACAAATCATTCTTGTAATGTGTGTGACTTCAGGGACAGTACCAATGGAAAATAACCAGTACAACCAGTACTTAGTCTTGATACAAGACTCTAAGCTCCCTCTCAGAAGAGGTTTTCTTTTGTGGTGCATGTGGACAGTATGCAAAGGTTTTTTTTCTCTAATGGAACATCAGGTTATTGCCACAAACAAACACACTCATCTCTCACTCTAGCACATTAATTCTGGCAAATTAAAATCCGGATACAGCCAAATTTGGTGAGACCTTAAGTTCTGAAAATTCAAAATGAATCCATAATGAGGTTTCCCAAGCATCAAAACTTCAGCAGTACAAATTACCATATCACTGTAATAGGTCACGCCTTGACAAAAAAGGTAGAGACTGGAATCTTGGAAGACCTACAAAAATTTTCAGAAGCAAGCAAACTACTTCGGTGGATTTCAGAAGGCATTTGACATTTGTTTTCATAAAGACTGATTTCAATTGCTTATACTCATGATATCTCAAGGCCTGGCCAAATACACCTATCTAGCACTTCCAAGAGCCTTCTAATGTTACATGGCTAAATGCTCAGCCTTTAAGTTCTTTAATATTACCATCCATGAAGAAAAGAGGCAATTCTTACCCATCCCTGAAAATTTAATTACTGAGGTTTAATAGCTAATATTTATTATCAGAAGATCTCACAAGTGCATCTGTATATCATAAATGCTTATGAGAACATCTGTGAAGTTGTAAGTTGCTGTGTATAGCAATAATCAATTGAAGACTTTATGGATGCTCTAGGACTTTAAAAGATTTAATAATCAGTTAATTATTGGGACTTTTAAAACCTGCTTTAAAACGGAGCTCTTAGCATCAAATGTAGCCCTTGTAGTACAGATTTATACAGCATCACAGTAGGATCTGTCTCTTATCACTTGACAAGCAATAAATAATGCCAGTACTATAACAAACAAGAACACCTTCCACTCATTTCAAGGTTGAGAGACTAAATTAGGACTAATGAGTATTATGTAGTCATTTCTCTATATATTTTGCCATTCACTGTCTGCTTAAAACCCCTCCAGTTTTTGAGAGCTTGTCAGCAGCTTCTCAAAGATCTACATGTCTTTGAGCTTTACCAGATCGGTGCTGTCATTCCCCAAAGTCTTTCATTATTCACCCAGATTTGTCTCCTACACACACAGCTGCTGGGTTATTTTGGATTCTGAATGCAAAAGAAACAAAACAAACCACCAAAACATGCAGCAGTGTATCTTAATTCACCAGACAACTGTGTACATAAGTATGAAGCTCCTGACCTTCTGCAGCTAACAC